TCTGTAACAGTCTTCTCCTTGATGTGTGTAATGCTATGTAACTGGTGCTGGAAATGTTCAGTTATAAAAGAAAAATCCTCCAACTCTCAGAAAAATGGAAGTCAGTGTCTTCTGTCTTTTATTGCCAAAGACCAACTTGTAACCAATCAAGAGGAAGAAAATAGTTGAATAGACTATGCAGGTACACTGATTCATCAATATGAAAATTAAATGTCAAGGCCAATCAACAATGCTGTTGTCTTTCAGGGAAAACTTGTGCCGATTTAACCCACTGCCATCTTTCTAAGTTAACCAATGAATCGGTTATAATTATTCTGCATCCTCCCTGTATGATGGATTACACAGAGTATGGGGGTATGTGCGAGGTTAAGCTGGTATTAAATTTTTAGCAGTTAAGATCAAAGCTTGCATTTTCACCTTCTGTATCTCAATTTGTTTATCTCTGCAAAGTTACAAAATTGCTTTTCGAACACCTTTAAACGCCAACAGTAAAAGTGTGAGAGGACTATTGACAGGCTTGGGTTGTATGATTTGTTCTACTCTGCATTTTATTTTAGCACACGAGGCTGTAAAGTGCAACATTTTAAAAGTAGAGAAGCAGTATGAAACTTTGCAGACCATTGCTTATTTAAATTAGAAATTTGTAACTCAGATGAATAGAAGTAAAATATTAAATAGCAACTCCACGTATATACTAGAATCAGAATGCCAGTGTTATCTAGGAAATGCAGCATTGTATAGAGGTCTTGCTTACAATGCTTTTTTTGTAGCTTGGTGCAGGTTGCATTGCATTGGGTCCAATTATTTTCTAGTGGCTATCAACCTATTTTTTCTTAATGCAGCACACAACAAAACATTTATATACAGATCTATGCATTGGGGTGTCTTGAAGGGCGAATTGTTTTGTTTACCATGTTGAGTTGGTGATCCATTACAAAGGAATATGGATACCCTCCATAATGCATGGTAAGGCACACAAAACAGTATTAATGGGTCTTTAGGTCCAGTGTCTGAGCCTATTATTTTAAGGCTTCTGGATTAGTGTGCCACCAGTAATGAATATATTTTAGGGCTCCAAACAGTTCTTTTGCAGTGAAGCCATACAATATGATTTTTGAATATCCTTAATGTACAACTATGGCCTCCTATTAAAATAAAAGGTGCTCTTTATTATAAGACCATCTACTCATATGTTTCTCTTAGTCCTCCTTCAAAGTCTCAATACCTGTTGAGCCTGCCAGTGAAGTCAGAAGTTCACCTAATGCAGCTTACAGAGACAGTATGGCACTTGAGCCTCTATGAATAAGCCTACGGGTGAAACATGTGAGAGGTTGTAGCTGGTTGGGGGTGTGCAGTGCTGGTATTTGCTGCTTTGTACACTTTTATTCACTGATATACTGGATTTGTTGTTAATTTCAATAAAGTCTGAAGTATTGGAATTCTCTGGATAGTGCAATCTGCTCCTATACTAGTATGGCAACAATGCTGCATTGCTCCTGAATACAGAGCAGTGCTGCAATGCTTATGTACGCTGTAGCTACTTACCCTAGAGAGGGATGAAAATCGTTGCAGTCATGGCTATCAGCATTGTCACTGCCGATTCACAAACTTGTAGCTTGTCAATCAGCACCTGGCCACACCTAGTCTTTTCCACTGTGAGCTGCAGTGTCTGGGAGGGGAAACATGCGAGACACAATTGGAGGATTTAGCTCAGTCAGGGGAGGTAAAATAAGGTTTGTTTACTTTATTAGGCTTGCGCGTCACATAGTAACTGAATTTGGGACTTGTTTAGAATGTCATACGGATACTTTACTTGTACTTTAACTACCTGCTGTCCGGTCGTTGTAATTAAACGGCCGGACAGCGGCTTCTTGAGGGCGGGTGGGCGTCTTTAGACGTCCTATCCCGTTCCGCCGTTAGGCGGCGTGCACGAGCGGGAAATCGGCTTTGAATGTAAACAGCCAGCGATGCTTGCTCCCTATGTGATAGCAATAAAGTTCAGTGAAAAAAAAAAAGGTTTAAAAAAGTTTGTTACAAAAAAAATAAAAATCACATATCAAAGCAATAGAAAAAAATTCAAGTCGCCCGTTCCCACACATGCGCCATGCCCGCCTACGTGCGAAAACGCCGATTACATCCATTGCGCCGCACATGTTACATATCACCGTGAACGTCGGAATGAGAGCAATAATTCTAGGGCCATCAATCACTGATAACACTAAACTGATGAGCGGTAAAAGCTGTTAAAGCGTCGGCTATGGTCCATTTTGAGTATGGTAGTTTTTTTGCGATTTAACGGGTGCACGCAATTTAAAGCTTGACATGTTTGGTGTCTATTTACCCGACGTGACCCCTTCTTTTATATTTTACCAAAAAATCTGGTAATAATAAATGTTTTATAACATAACGTAGGGAGAACAGGTTGTTTTTCAAAATTTTTGGTACTTTTTTTTATTATACAGTAAAAAAACAAACCTGTAGTGGTGATTAAATACCACCAAAAGAAAGCTCTATCTGTCCCCAAAAAATGGTATAAAATTCATTTCAGTACAGCGTTGCATGACAGAATAAATGTCAAAATACTGCAGCGCTGAATACTGAAAAATGGCCTGGTCAGGAAGGGGGTATAAACAGCCCCGGTCAGCAAGTGGTTAAAGGAAAACTAACAGTGATGTACCAGTTTTCAGTTACAAAACATGAGAACTTTGTAGGCATAATCCCAGTGCTTGGTTAAGCAAATATAAAAGATGCTTGTGATTAATGAATGTGTAGGCTGAACCAAAGAGATTAACCGAAACAGAAGTGAAGATTAAATAAAACTGTGCAAGCGGCCACCATTCTACAAAAGTAAGATTATAGTAGATGCTCTTTGCATTGCAGGACAACTGATTAGCTCCGTATCCTGCTTCTCCTTCCCCCCGTCTGACTCTGCTGTACAGGGATTGCAATAGGCCGATAGCAAGTAAAATTAATGTACTTCCACTGCTTGCACTTAATAAAGCAGTAACGAAAACAGAGTTGCATTATTTAGTCATTTTTATATCTGCTTGGAGTTTTATGTCACCAATTGCTGCAAGTACAATGATAAATCATTTTCTGTTTAGAAATCCGTTACAATTGCCTGAAATGCAGGCACAGGGCTTGTAAACACCAAATATTTCCTAAATGGAGAGGAAGCCTAACGTTTACTAGGTAAGCACCTGATTCGGTCAGTAACTTGATATATTCCTTTCATTGTATCAGAGAGATGGCTATTTCCATGCTCCATTGCAAACTAATCCCGAAGTTGTGAATAAAAGAACAGCTTCCCAAACCTACCCTTTCATGAACTTGTGTTCCAGTTATGAGATTATTAAATATGAAAGAACAATTTTTGAAAATGAAAGCACCTCTATAGCAGTCTAAAGCTAATCTCTCTTCTAACCTTGGCTGCTCTAAAACAAGCACTAATGTGACATGCAGCATGCAGATTTTGATTGGTATGCGTTTCAGGTTTTAGGAAAACAAGGGGGTGGGGGGGCTGCTGCAGCACAAACCCCTTTCCAATCAACCCCTGGAAATAAGAGTGTGTATTCATATATGTACACTGAGTTGTCAGCTTATTATGACCATCTGACGTTTGTAGGAAATTAGCTATAATTTCTCGCTGAAGTTGCTAGAGGGCCAGACGACTATAAATAGGGAAGCGGGTTGTTTACCACGACAGTAGAAGTGTTTTTTTTTCTGAAGATATGGGTATACAGAGCGATTTAACAGCCTTTGAACGTGGGATGATTGTTGGCGTGAGCCATGGAGCGAGTATCAGCAAAACTGCAGAATTCGTTAAATGTTCAAGAGCAGCTGTTGTCAAAGTGTTTAAAGACTGGACTGTCAGCCGAAAATCTGGGTCCGAACGTGCGAATTGTGGCCGTCAGTGACTAGTCAATGTTAGGGCAGAACGGAGAGTGGCAAGACTGGTACAAGACAACAGAAGGGCAACAGTGCAGTCAGATTCCTCGCATCACCTTTCAACATCTCGTGGAGTCACGAGGCGGCCCAAAGAAGTCATCTCGTGGCCCAATGAAGTACTGATGGGGTGGTCATAATAATCTGGCCACTCAGTGTATATATACACACACACATAGATATAGTACCCACTCCGAGAAAGTTCTATTTTGAATGAAAACCATTAGCATTGGAGCACAGGGGATTGGAATCTTGAGAGTTCCGATGTGAAATTCCTGGCACATAGCAGCGTTGGCATCTGGCAGAATGAATCTTTGTGCATGACTATATGCCTAATCTTGGTGGACAATACCAGTGTGGGTGAGACCTGTTTTATTGCTATATTGAATACAGCAATCAAATGCATCTGAATGTTGCTTCAGTAGGATTATAGACTGGAATGAGAGATCTAGATTTCTGATGCCATGTGAAATAATCAGATACTGTTTAGCAGGGTGGTCTCGGCTGTAGGCACCTCAGGACACACAGTTATCACACTTATGGAAACAGTGACAAGCATCACATGGATGTTCATTCATTCCGCACCTGGTATGGGTCTACCACACAGACAGCCATGAGCCATACACTTCTTTGATTTAAGAGTGTCCCCCACCTCTGGCCCGGATATACACAAAAAAAAAAGGAGGCGCCTTTATTATATACATGGGTTGAATTCATTACTGCAGTGTGTCGCCTACCATATTGATGAAATCATATTGAATCTTTAATACATAAAACGGGATGATTATTACCCACAATTATTTATTGGGGACTCACATGGCCAAGGGTTTCTTTTGTTGTTCACTATATGTTTGTTGGTCGTTTTTATGTGATCATGAGTTGTCTTTTTCAATACAGATTTTTTGTGTATCATGAATTAAATAAAATGAATGTTCAGAACCCACATTTGGATGCAGAATTGAATATTTGCTGTATGGGATCCCAGTAGTTGTTAAGTGGGAACAGATTTCTGATTCAACTCTATATAGAGCACAGAATTAAGACATCAGACCAAGTAGTGAAAGTGCATATCTTTGTATTTATATAACCCATATACATTGGCAGGGTGTGATTACAGAGTTTCCATCAAGCTCCTTTAAACATGAATAATAAGTTAAAGTTGCATTATCACAGTAAGAAGAATTGTTCACCCATGTCTTGTTATCTGTGAAACTCACCCTGTGCACTAGCAACTTTTCACTGGCAGAGTATCTGCATATTGTCTCACCCCAGACCTGTCAGCACACAGATAAAATATTTTTTTTAAAAAGAATGGACTACAGGACGATGTTGAACAAGCCTACTGATCAAGTGAGGCCTGACACATGAATTTGGTGTCTAGCTCTAGCCTCGTAGGTGGGTCTTACTCTCCAATTATTACTGTAAACATTTTATGCTGTTACATTCTATGCTGGAGTATCCACAAGAGGCAAAAAATGAACCCCGTATTAACGGTTACTGGATCATATAATGAGTCAGCTACAAAGCAAACCATCCTTTTGAATGAAAAAGGCATCAAGCAGTTATGGTGGTTCTGGCCTACAAGAGGCTTATAGATTATGTACTTCAAGTCTGAAAAGCACAGGTTTGACCCAAGACCACCTGTTAACTGATGTTTTTGAGCGTGAATGGATTTTCTAAAGGTTCAATACAACTTGTTAGAATTCATACAACACTCCGTATATTGTAGGAGATATAAAACAAGCAAGCATTATTAGCCCCACTCAAAGAAGGAAAAGGGGAAAAGGGGAAAAAAAAAACACACATCAATAGCCAATGGGGGGGGGGTTTTTTTATGGGGGTAGAGTTTTGAGACTCCTTTTGGCTGGGCACAAGGATGGCATTAGAGTGCAGGGGCTAGAGGTAAAATGTTTGTATCAGTCTGGCAGGGAGAGGGCATTAAAGCCGTCCAATGATTTTCACATTCCTCCCCCTTATGGCTCTGGAGACCCCACAGAGGCTAGCCACTGCTCTTGAGAGGGATCAGAGATTCAAAGTTGGCATCATCTGGCATAGCGCTTGATGTAGTCCTCAACTTTATTTCGGTATTCATCCTGAAAGAGAAAAACAAAAGGCTATTATATTGTTTTGATGCTCTGTGTACTTACTGGAAACATCTCTCTGTTATAGTGACTACATTTATTGGGTTTATAAGTGGGGGAAATATTGACCAATAAGGAGGAAGATAACAATAAAAAAAAAACCTGATGGCGGTTGTAATCCTTCCTCACTATCAAAAACAAGAAAAAATTGGACATTTGTTTTAGGAGATATTTTCTGTTTCAGTGACATCAGTTACTGAATGAGAAGACTTCTCATTGTATGACATAACAGAAGAGCCTACTAAAACTGTGTACAGATGCAGACACCGCATCTAAATCGAAGGACGGTATCGGTATATGTCAACCATTTAAACCAACCTTGTTATTATATCAAAAATCGGGGGAAAAGTAAGAAAAAATCGGCATCAGCAATGGGGCAGCCCCCCACCAAAACACTTTATAATGCTGTCTCTCCCTTTTACATTAAGTGATTGTCCCTCCAAACCAAAATTATGTCCCGCATGCAATGCTTTTCCTTTAGAAGTAACCTGCACCAGGGAATATCATAGATATAATTTATACATTGCTCTTTTATTCTACCTGCACAAAAATACAAGCAGATTAAACTTCCGTTTTAAGGGTGTCTTGGCAGTTGTTCACCAAGGCTGATCCCTGTCTTCTACATAAACAGATAAACAGAGAGAAGGATTCCACCTATCTGTATACGCTGTCCAACCATGGTGATAAAAAGCAGCATGCAAGCAAAATATCACATCCAGGCATGTTTAACTCCAAATATGTACGGACTGAAAACACACTATACTACACTAATACAATATAAACTCAATATATATAACAGAGATGCAACATTCCACAAATAAATCCAAACACCTTTCATAAACTTAATTCTCTAAACGTGTTATTTTTTTTAATATATCCTACTTAACTGTGCCCTAGCAAACAGCTTGCAATCAAGAAGGTGAAGGGTCTGGGAAAATGGTCAACTTTATGGGGTCGCCATCTGTGGGCTCCAGAGTCATGGATCAGACACAGAGCTCCCGTCTTACATTATATGCTATATATTTGTTACACCTTCTGCAGTACATAAATCTTATGTGCACAAGGAATTAGATGAAGAGGATTGACTTTTATAGGTGAGCAAGCAGGGTTTTATTACTTCATGCTCTTCAAGATCAGACACGAAGAACTTTGCATCAGTGTTGGTGTCATGGTAACCATTGGGTGTCCAATAGCCTAAATTATGTATTTGTTAATATGATAAAACCTTCACCATAAGACCTTAGCAGCAAGAGAATGCTGCATTACTGTGCGACAGTGATCGGATAGCAGTCGACATTCACTCTCACTTGTTAATTCCATAGAGAAGAGGCAGTTTAATTATAATCAATGTACAGTATGTGTATTATTACAGTACATGCTTGTAATTCATAGCTAGTGTCAGTGATTGATTCCTACACTCCTGAAATGAAAAATAAAATGATTGTTGTGTCATGACAAAGTTAGAGAACAGCAGCACAGGGGTTAGAATTGTAGCTCTGTATCACTGGGGCCCTGGCCTCATTAATTAGTATGAATCGTTTATGCGCTCCCTATGTTTGTATGGGCTTCCTCTTATGTTCTGCTTTTCTCTAGCGACCTAGAAAGAAGCTAATTGTTAAACCAGCTTCCACCCAACAAAACTAGCCTACACGTGACTGTCTGTATGAGTGTGAAAGGAACATAACATTATATGTTTCATCAGAGGTATTCTTTCTTGAATATAGATATTGGGCTTGTCGGCTGCACTTTAAATATAGAGTCCATTTCAGTTGCGTGAACTACACCGCAGCAAAAATTAAGAATTGAAGAAGCTATGCTTGTATAACACATTTCCGCAAAACCAAATAATACATAACCAACTTCTATAACTATCACCATCCCTCGTGTGAGTTCTCATTGACTTCAATGTTAAATCATTTAGCAGCAGAGACGTAGGCTGATGTGCACCAATGTGAGGAAACTGCTGAAGGAACTTACAGAGACACATAATTAAAACATATCTAAACTAAAAACAACTATACTGAAGCTTGTTAAGCTATAGTGGTGGTGGCTGCATTAGTTTTACTTTTCAGGATTTTTTCGCTTTTATTTTACCTGTTGATCCTGACAGTAACACACTGCTTACTAGCTCCACTGTATCTATGTAGGAACAGCATTATCACACTGGGCTGCTCTCCTGATGTGGACCACACTCGCGTCTCTCTCTTCTCATCTCTCATTGCACAGCAGGTAACAAGGACACCAGATTTCTGGAAAGATCAACAGGTATTTTTCTGTACTTGCAGAAAATGCACTTAGCCGGAAAAAGGAAAACTAATACTGCAAAATCTAATTTTGTGTTCTTTATCCACCAAGTTCAACATGGCAGAAATTCAAATGGCTGTCAGATGTATAACCTGAATCAAAATATTAGCAATACTATCTTTTGCCAATTATAAAAGATGGGCTATGTTTATTTCTGACATGGGTCGTTTGGTCACTTTTTCAAATTCCATTTCGTTTTCACCATAGCCAACTTATGCACAATGGCATTTCATAGCTTCACAAAGTAAAATTTACAAAGTTTTGCATACAAGCTGCACCAGTAAACCAATCCCACCGCTAGCAGTACACTCCCAATGTGCATCTTCTTTTCCACATTTTAGATAAAGAGCTCCAAATGACAGAAACATTTTTCATTAAATAATCACAAATCAGAAACCTTCTATTAAGCAAATGCTATACCCCTGGGTTTAATGTACAGGGACATATACACTACATTATGACCCAGTTTTCTTAGTTTAAAAACTTGTCCATGCACTGAACTGTTACCCACATGAAATGTCTCATCATGCGGGAAGCAAAAGCTTTCATTTCAGCTTAGCTTTGCTTCATTTTGTTAAAAACATTTTTATTGAACATGTAAAACAGAGAAACACCAAAGTAATCTGCCTCCCTCGAGATAAGTTTGAAATGAGCCAAAAAACTGATTGTTGGAATGTAGCTGCAAGAGATAAGGAAATAACCAGAAGTAGAGCAGCCAAAACAAACTTCAGAATCACTAAAGTAGAACTTCAGGCAGGCAGCTAAATATACAGATCAAATAGCTTTAATGTTTATCTGCTACAGTGGGTTATGATTTACACACCTTCACCAAACTGCATATGCAAAATCAGTCTGCTGCTTCCTCTTTCAGCTTTGCTTCTGCCCAGATGACCTCCTTACTAAATGGACAAAAGTGATGATGTTGATTTATTGCCAAATAAGCAGTTTGCACTGGACCGGAACGCAGGTACCAATGTGCCATGCATTCTGGTGATAGAACTGTGGGCGCGGTGTGTGGCTGTGGTGCAATTGACTTCAATGCACCGCCATGACCCCTCCCGCCCCTGAACGCAGGAAGCCGGCCATAATGCGATTCAGTGCGTTCCAGAGCCTGACCCCCCTGGAATGCACTATTTATGGTGTGAACTGGTCCTCAAGCTACATAGGAACCTGCACTGATAGTGTGTTAAATGTGTGAAAAACACAAGTATGGCTAAACAGAATAACAAATACTTTGACAGCAAATCAGTTCACATGCATGAATTTCAATTGCGTTTTTAGGAGTTTGCTTGGAGCTCAGCTTTAGGCTCCGTTCACACCAAGGTGTTTTGTCTCTCAAAGGAATCCCATTTGCTTGTCTTGAGCATGACAAAACGCTCAAGACAACGAATTCCATTAATTTCTATGGCCTCGTGTTGCACAAAGTTTCCCATCAAAGTCTATGGGACCAAAAGCTGCTGCCAGAAAGTAGCTCATGTACTTTTTCCAGGGACAAGCATTTTTCTGCTTCCGATAAAACGCTTAGGTGTGAACAGCGGCCACGGGATGGATGGAATTCCTTCCCTTGAGCATTTTGTCGCACTTAACTTTGAGTGATAAAGCGCTTAGGTATGAATAGGGACTTAGAGTGAACCTGTGGCAAACTTGAAAACATGTTTATTTCCTTTAAAAAGCTGGCAGAACACATCTGAATTCCAGGTTTTTAAATAAGTACAATAAAAATCATTTGGTAATAAATTAAAACTGTTTAATAATTATTTCAAGTGTAGTTTAGTGGTGGCTTCTGAACGTTCACTTTAAAATTCTGAGTCATATGATATAGTTCAGTATATCCAAATTAAAAAAATTCCCAAACTGTGAAAGTATATCACAAGCATGAAAACAGTAACTGTTGTTACTTCAGCTTCCAGCAACAGAACATGCAGGTGTGCATGGGAGTTTTTGTGTGAGTGAAGTTTGGTTGGAAACTTCATCTCATGCTCTGGTGACAACTCTAAAATTTTGGACTTCTCCACAATCTTTGTATCAATGATAGTGGTAAGCGGGACAAAGGAAGGCTGAATCTCCCTTACAGGAACAAAGTCAGCTAAAAGAACCTGATAGAGGGTCTAACTCTTCCCCACTCTATTCAAAACTAAAAACAGGATTTTTTTTACTCTACTGTAAAAACTATTTCTTGGAGTTCATTATGGGACACGGGAATCGGGAGTAATATAGAGACACCTCAGTTATACTGCCACCTACAGGAGGAATTGTATGCAGGCAAACAATGAAAGCTGTTAGTCAATCAGGTATGAGCGATCCCACTGCGACAATGCTTCCGTTTTGTAGAAGAGCAGTATTAGGGGTAGATTATAAACACATAGTGGGTGGGACCTGTGTGTATTAATAAACTGAATTCATGGCATATACAAAAATCCAGTTTTCTTTCTTCTTCATTAAGGGGCACAGGATCAGAATAATTCAGAGACAACTGGGACATCCAAAAGCAGTCCAACTGAGGGGTGGGCAACAGCAAGAAAACACCAACAAGTCCACATAACAGTGTAAAAACCTGGGTCAGTTCAGAGATATGCCTTAAAAACCTTTTGCCCAAAGTTTGCATCAGCTGAGGTCTGAACGTCGACCTGGCAAAACTTATAAAAGTT